TAGTCTCTAAGGTGCCACGGGACTGCTCGTTGTTTTCAGGTCATTAAGGGTATGGCTGCAGTGCACTGTAGACCTGAATTGGTGAGAGATGGATTTGTGAAGGTGCTGTTTCCAAGCCCTGCTTGAGCACTCATACTAGCTTGTACATCGAGGCTTACAATTTTGCTGGGTCTCACAGCCATACTAATGCGTCCATACTGCATGTTGCTGACCTTCTGATTCAGGTCTGTGTCATGAGCAAATGCCAGCATTTTGAGACACACTAGGTCCCCGTCTCTGACCCAGGGTCCTAGGCCCTGTGTCCTGAATGCTTGCTGCTCTGAATCAGACTGATTTGCAGGAGTGTGTGTGTGGGGGGGAGGGGGGTCGCGTTCCTCCAAACTTGAATCACAGCCTGGGATTAGTGTGTAGACACCTCTCTCCTCTCCGAGGTGGGAAACTTATCTACAAATGGCTAAGATGCTGCTTTTGGCCCAAAATGACCCAGCATAATTTCAGCCCCACCCCTCCAAATAATGGCTTCAGCTGAAGGGAGAGGTGGGATGTGTTTTGTTACATAACATAAGAACGGCTGTACTGGGTCAGATCAAAGGTCCATCTAGCCCAGTATCCTGTCTGCCGACAGTGGCCAACACCAGGTGCCCCAGAGAGGGTGGACCGCAGATAATGATCAAGTGATTTGTCTCCTGCCATCCCTCTCCAGCCTCATGACAAACAGAGGCCAGGGACACCATTTCTATCCCCTGGCTAATAGCCTTTTATGGACCTAACCTCCATGAAATTATCTAGCTTCTCTTTACACTCTGTTGGGGTATGTCTACACTACAAAGTTAATTCGAACTAACAGATGTTAGTTCGAATTAACTTTCATAGCATCTATACATGCAAACCACTAGTTCGGACTTAATTCGAACTAGCGGAGCGCTTAATTCGAACTAGGTAAACCTCATTCTACGAGGACTAATGCTTAGTTTGAATTAAGGGCTGTGTAGCCACTTAATTCGAACTAGTGGGAGGCTAGCCCTTCCCAGCTTGCCGTGGTGGCCACTCTGGGCACAATCAGGGAAACTCTTCTGCCCCCTCCCGGCTCCAGAGCCCTTAAAGGTGCACAGTCTGGCTACGGTGCTTGTGCCAGTTGCAAGCCTGCCAGCACCCAGCCAGCAGATCCTGAACCTGGCACGGGATGAGCCAGCCACCCGCTGCCACCCAGCCCTCCGCCTCTTCCCAGGCCCAGGCTGGCAGCTCACAGGAGCCTGCCCGGAGCCACAAGAGGTGGGCACCCACCTAGTCTAGTGCGGAGATCGAGGACCTCATCAAGGTTTGGGGGAAGTTGTCCAACGTCCACGATCTCTGCACTAGCCACAGGAACATGGCCGTCTACAGCCACATGGCCACCAGAAGCCACATGAGGACCCGGGAGCAGGTCCACTGCAAAATTAAGGACCTGCGGCAGGCCTACTCCAGGGCCTCCCAGCCAGGGGCCGACCCGGAGGCATGCCCCCATTATGAGGCCCTGGACTACATCCTGGGGGCTCACGCAGTGCATGCCCCCCAGGTGGCGATCGACCCCGGGGCAGAGGGACCCATTCTGGACACTGAGGAGGAGGATGCCGTGAGCCAGGAGCCTGCAGGGAGCCTGCCCATGACCCAGGACCCCCGAGGCACCCCACAGAGCACATCGCTCTGTGTGTCGTCTGAGGCCAGGGAGGGATCCACATGTGAGTGCCATCATGCTCCCCTTATGTGTATGGGGGATGTGGGGGGAGAGGGAGCCCAGGGACCATGAGCCTGGGCCTTGCCCCCCATGAAGCAGCAGCTGGGTGTCATGCAAGGGCCCTGGACCATTCCCCACACACCGACCTCACCTTGAAGAGGGGGGCTGGGTTTCACCCACCGTGTTCCCAGGGAGAACTGACCACTGCTCTTGTTTCACTACAGCCGCAGCACCTGGGACTGCAGGGCGCACCACTCCGCCTGCAGCAGCCACCCACACCCGGGCCAGCAGGCGCACCAGGAACCTGGAGGATTACCAGCGGCAGCACCTGCAGCTACTAGAGCACCAGATCCACATCCAGGAGCACTGGGTCTGGGAGGACCTGTGGTTGCAGCAGCGGAGCATGGAGGTGCTGGAGGAGCAGAACCATGCCCTCAGAGGTCACCTCCAGACCCTGGTGGATAGGTTCCCGCCTCCTCCTGCTCCAGCCCCTGTGGCCGCCCCAGCTCTCGCTCTTCCTCCCACCCCTGCTCCCCCTCCTGCTTCCTCTGCACCCCCCATACCTCCTGCCCCACCCTCCACACCCACTCTCCCCCGATGCCCCTGCACCCGCAGGGCTGCGAGATGGGAGAGCCAGCAGGACCCCTAACCCTGAGCTTTCCCCTCCCTTCTACCCCTTCCAGCTCCCTCTTCCCAGGTTTCCCCCTCCCCTCTCCTACCCTCACTCCCAGTGATGTACAATAAAGAGAGATTTTTGCTGGCAAAACAGGTGTGTTTATTTTACATTAGGAAGGGGGGTTAGGGAGGGGAAAAGGGAGGGTGGAAGAAGGCCCCAGTGGGGCATGCAGGGAGAGTTCAGTCCTCCTTCTCCACCTAGAAGCTCTCCCGCAGGGCTTCCCAGATCCGGACGGCCCCCCGCTGGGCCTCCCGGACGGCGGCGGTGCGGGGCTGCAAGTACTGGCCAACCATGCGCTCAGCCTCAGCCATCCAGGCTGGCAGGGAAACCC